TTTTCTCTTTCTTCTTCATTTGATCGGCATTCTGTCATCAAGTGTTTTACTGAGAGGTTTACTCCGCATGTGGTGCATTCTGACGGTGGTTGGTTCTTTAATAAAATAGTTTGTTAAAAAAATTAAATCAAAATATGTATTTATTTAAAACGTATGTGATAARCTACAGCATTTAAGAATTGTTCGATATAATTATCATCATTATTATTATTGTATCTTGTACACAGTAAAAATAACTTTTCTTGCATATTTTCATATATATATTTTTTTTTTGGTTGCAAATTACCTATATCAAATTGAGCTATTTTAGTGCTATCTGAATCTATCTCTAATCTAATTTTTTTTAATCAGTGTTCAAATAGAGGGATGATTATAGCTAACGAGTTTAGAAAATCGATGATTAAATTCTTCTGTTTGATTRTTAGTATTAGTATTAATAATTTATACCTATAATAATAATAATAATTGGTTTGCGATTTTTTTTCACTTGCTTTTTTTTCCTAACCTGCCACACAGTAGCTACTAGTTAGGTACCTTGACTTCATTCGGATTACTTTTGATGACGGCGTATCAGTTTATAACCTGTGGGTACAACTAGGTTTGGTGACATTTTTGGGTAAATTTGACCTATAGGTTGTCAGTATCAAAATATTGGATATAATGCTCACGTGCGTGTCTGGTAAATTTATGTATATATTATCATACACTAGATAAAGTCTTGTTGTCCTAAGTTCCTCTTTTGTTTTAACAACTTATCTTATTTAATCTAATGTTAATGTCTATCATTAAAACTAAAATAAATTTTCATAAAATAATGGGTAGATAGCTGGTACTTCTTAATATAAACTATATTTTAGGTTTTGGATTTTCTTCTAGAGTTTGCAACTAATAATAGCAACTATCTACTTATACWAGGTAATATAATAATAAATGCATTTATTTGTCTAAAAAAAATTATTAGGAGAACATTATTGCCTTAAATTGGTTTTTATTAATATTTAAAAATTAAGAATTTGTTATAAATAATAAATGATACACATTCGTTTATAAGGTGATTTAAAAGTAAAGGAATTTAAGGAACTATTACGGATAACAGAAAATTTAAAATGTCTGAAGTAAGTTTCATTCATTGTATTTCAGTAAATGAACAGAACTTTATTGAAACATGCGTCATATTAAGTACCTACTTTAAGAATTGTATTTAACTTTTACATAATAATATAAATTCATGTTTATGATAATATGTGTGGATTGTATAGAAGGTGAATTATTTTCATCATTTTACTAAGTTAGTACCTATAGTTTATAGTTAATATATAGTTTTGATGAACTCCAAAAGTCCAAAGAATGAAGTTTATAGTATAAGTTTTAAAATGAATAAGCGTGAGTAAAACTCATATTACGTATCAAAAGTAATTATATTGCACTGAATTATTGAATCTTAGTTTTAAATCAATTTCAATTGATATTTTACATAATCTTATCTATCTATAAAACTTGTTTTCTCATACGAGTGTATCTCTTGTATCTCTTCTTTTGAAAAATTAAGAACTATTGCACAGATATCTTTTTGAAAATCTATAGCTCAGAAGTTAGACATATATTCTGGCACGATGGATTACTTTTAAAACCTAAAATACTTTTTTTGATACTCTTTTATCTTCTTCTTCTAATTGTATTCTACCTGTAAATCTGCGCATCTGAAGTTAGCCACGAATTCTCAAACTTTCTTGACTTATTAACTGAGATTCCCCCGGGACATGACATTGCTCATTTTCTACATAAAGGCATTCCAGTTATATAAACCACTCATATCGTAACGTATGCTGATGACATAGTTCTATACTTATATATAGTTGGTGAAAACGAAAATCCAACTACTATACGAGTATAGCTGGCAAATTAATCCAAATTGACATCAATCTTCTTTTGAAGACTGAATAAGTAAAAAAATAAAATTAAAATAGCTCCATCGATATTAATATTATGCATGAATTTTATAAATAATATCTGTATAATTATTACAGTATTTATAATTCTAAATAAATAAAAATCCTATTATAATGTACCTCTGTATAGAAGATAGATGTTCTAGATGTGTTTCTAGAATATTGGTACCTACCTAGTTTTTTATTTTGCTATTTTTATTAAATAGATATTATTTCGTTATTTGATGTCAAAGGCGTCACATGTCAAGTGCCACTAGTGGGTGGCTTCTTAACACACCTACTCATGTTATTTTTTAACTCTTAGCTTATATACTT